CGACTCTTGTTTATTTGAAATCAATGAATGAATCAGATGTTAAAAAAAAAAAAACCATCCAGATGAACCGTTTGACAAATTCATGTCATTTCTTGATTTGGGCTTTTATTTTGAATATAGACAGATATTATGGGCTTGATTAGTAGAGATACATTAAAGCCCATTAGGGTTTGAAACAACTTCAGTTGTTCACTATAAAAAGGCGAATTTTTTCTCACTTCCAAGTTGGTCCTCAAACCCTAAATTGTCATCTTCGCCGTCGAGGAGCAGTCTCCATGGGTCGTGTCATCAGAGCTCAACGTAAGGGAGCTGGTTCCGTCTTCAAATCCCACACTCACCACCGCAAAGGTCCGGCTAAGTTCCGGAGCCTCGATTTCGGCGAGCGAAATGGATATCTCAAAGGAGTCGTGACGGAGATCATCCACGATCCTGGCCGTGGTGCACCGCTTGCTCGCGTCACTTTCCGTCATCCTTTCCGTTACAAGAAACAGAAGGAGCTTTTCGTCGCCGCCGAAGGTATGTACACCGGTCAGTTTTTGTACTGTGGTAAGAAAGCTACTCTCGTCGTCGGAAATGTTCTTCCGCTTAGATCTATTCCCGAAGGAGCCGTCGTTTGCAACGTTGAGCATCATGTTGGTGATCGTGGTGTTCTCGCTAGAGCTTCTGGTGATTACGCCATTGTTATTGCTCACAACCCTGACAGTGACACTACTAGGTTTGTTTTCTGTAATCCAGTACCATTTTATTGAGATTGAACTGATCAATTTCCATTTTTATGGTTAGATTTCATGAAATGGTTATATGTTTCTGCAGATCTGGTGATTTTATAGTGTAGATTATGATGATTGAGATTGGATAGGATAGGTTTGTAGTCTTGTGAATGCTTATCCTGAAGAACAGAATTTACAGTGAAACTGCTCTTGAAAATGGTTTCTTGTAGTGAACAACAATTTAGTATGGTTCATTTGTTCCTCCATTTCTGAATGTTGAAATTGGTTATGATAGGATCAAGTTGCCATCGGGATCGAAGAAGATTGTCCCGAGTGGATGCAGGGCAATGATTGGACAAGTTGCTGGTGGTGGAAGAACTGAGAAGCCGATGCTGAAGGCGGGTAACGCGTACCACAAGTACCGTGTGAAGAGAAACTCATGGCCTAAGGTTCGTGGTGTGGCTATGAATCCAGTGGAGCATCCTCATGGAGGAGGTAACCATCAACACATTGGTCACGCCAGTACTGTTCGTCGTGATGCACCTCCTGGACAGAAGGTTGGTCTTATTGCTGCAAGGAGGACTGGTCGTCTCAGGGGTCAAGCTGCTGCTTCTGCAGCCAAGGCTGACTAAGTTTAAGGATTATATTTGTGTTCTTGGAATTTTTTTTGATGTGTTTCCTTTTAGACCTAAAATCCCAAAGACTTTGTTATACTCTTATCAAAGTAGACTCTGTTTTCCTCTGTCGAAGCCTATATTATACATTGCAAAAATCTCATTTCACTAATTTTGGTAACGTTTGAGCAGTTCATTTTGTTCTGTTGCTGAATCATGTTAAACTGATCCCTAAAATAAGTTACAAAATTTAGTCTATCACTATTCAAATGGGTTTATTTTTAAAATAAACTACTAATCATTAAAAATTGACAATTTTGTTAATCATTTTTAGTAGTTTTATAGGATGTACACTCTGTTTCATATTAGTTATCATTTTATACTAAATTTTTTTGTTTTATATTATTTGTCATGCAATTTCAATACACATTTATAACTAATTTTTTTATTTTTATCCCTACTTTTAAGTTTATTTACTACACATATCAAATAAAACAATGTATTAATTAAGAGCAATGAATATATAAGTATAACTATGATCAGTGGTGGACCCAAGATATATTTTTACCTAGGTCAGTAATAAATAATTAAAAAAAATATTACACAACTGTGTTATCTTTTCACCTAGGTTAGTAATAAATAATTAAAAATAATTTTTACCCAACTTTGTTCTATGGGAGACTTGAACTTGCGTTATTGAAATGTAACCCATGGATTTACCAATTCTACTAGATCAACTCCTTGGATTGATATGTACTTTATTATATATAACAAGTTTACCTAGGTTAAGTGACCAATCAAAACCCTTGATGGGTCTGCCACTCACTATGATAATGGAATAAAATATTGATTCAATG